ATACCTACTATGCCTAATTCATAATCATTAGAAACAGAAATCACAATAAGATAAGCAGTAAATAGCTTAATTCAGTTTTGCTAGAAATGGTTTTCTCTGTACTGCTCTGTCCATATATAAAAATGGTTGTGGTATTATATCTTGTATGTGGAAAAAAAAATGCATATAAAAATAAAACGCATGGAATGATTATCGAGGAGGATGGAGATGTCAATCGTAATTAACAAAGACACTTAACTATCTTGGATCAAATATTTATGATCTTGGCAGATTTCAATAATAAGTGACAATATTATGAACACAGGATATTTGGAATAATTGAAAACGGTAGTTATCAGAAACCCTAATTTTGATTAGTTGATTGTTTTTGTGACATTAATCAATTTAGTTGGATAGTTGGAGTTGTCAAAAACAATAATAATTGGAAATATCAGTTGATTTCAGTCATCTGTAATTACTGAACATGCATTCATGAACTTTACATTTCCTGTTTTGCTTTGCTAGCTTACTCTATAGTTAAACTGTAACGTGTTATATATAGTGGCTTATCTTAAACGTCAGACTGCCGTGACACTACACGGTCAGAGCTGTTTACGGAACTTTCATTACTCACGAGACTTTAAGGAGGGTTAGATAAAGTGTTGCAAAGTTCTTCATGGAAAATTAATTTTGTGTTAGACCTCTTTACCAAACTATGTGAGATATTATTGGGATTATGGCCAAAAATATTTCTAACAGTGAAGTCACTCAACTGAAGAAACAACATGCTCTGATGCCTTTAAGTAAGGACAGTATACGTAATTAGCTATATTTATTACGAAGTTTAGTTTTAGTTTATGTAACTTGTTTTGATCAGAATTTAATATTCTTTGCAAGAAGGCTATGTTACCTTTTGACACATTAAGATCTTGGTTCTTTAGTTAGCAAGGATATTGTATTGAAGAAATTTTCAGATGTTGTGTGGAGGCTAAGTTCTGGAGTCGTATGCATTTTGTTATGATCTTTTTTTTTCCACTAAAGAATCTTAAAAATAAAATTTCTCCTAAATATTTTAAGATTACAGAGGAATTTCTTACATTAAGCCATAAAAAGAGGGATATTTATATATATTTTAAGATAACCATATGTTGGTTGTAATAGATAACCATACGTTGGTTGTAATAGATAACCATATGTTGGTTGTAATAGATAACCATATGTTGGTTGTAATAGTTAACCATATGTTGGTTGTAATAGATAACCATATGTTGGTTGTAATAGTTAACCATATGTTGGTTGTAATAGTTAACCATATGTTGGTTGTAATAGTTAACCATATGTTGGTTGTAATGAAACTGAGACATGAACAAAGAAAGTTGAAAACTTCAAACTTTTTTAAGGTATCAAGTCAGGGATCCACAGGAAGCCAGTCTGCCGTACCTTCTCCAGCAAACCAGCATCCTTCGAGTGTTGCAAGGTTAGTACACGTTACAATATTTGTTGTTATATATACAATATTTGTCTTGTTCCTTCTCCAGCAAACTGGCATCCTTCGAGTGTTGCAAGGTTAGTACACGTTACAACATTTGTGTGGTATGACATAGTAGTCATTAAATAACTTACAGCACAGCTTTTATGTGTCATTGAATTAAAAAATTGTGTATCTTTTTAGCTAAAATAAAGTTAGTGATTTACTGATTAACTTAAGTTAGTATCAACAGAATCAACAAATTATTGCTTTGTAATAAGTTTATTTATATTGCTCAAACTGTTTATGAAAGAAATTTATTGTCATCTCAAGATAAAACCTTGCCACATCAATCTGTGAACATCAAATTGTTTATAAAACCTTGCCACATCAATCTGTGAACATCAAATTGTTTATAAAACCTTGCCACATCAATCTGTGAACATCAAATTGTTTATAAAACCTTGCCACATCAGTCTGTGAACATCAAATTATTTATAAAATCTTGCCACATCAATCTATGAACATCAAATTGTTTATAAAACCTTGCCACATCAATCTGTGAACATCAAATTGGTTATAAAACCTTGCCACATCAATCTATGAACATCAGATTGTTTATAAAACCTTGCCACATCAATCTGTGAACATCAAATTGTTTTCTACTGTGTCACACCTCCTGGTTTGGAAGTGCCTGTAGAAACAGTGTCTTCGTAGTATAACTGATTATTGACTTCTCACAATGTTTATTTCAACCCTAAACAGCCATCAAAACTCGTATCCTGCCAGTCTAGTGTGTTTGGTGGGTAAGGTAGATGTGATTTGTTGTGTTGATTGAGAATGATTGTCAGTATGTTGAAAAACTGCCCAGAACAGATGATACTTGTAGCAAATTTGTTTAGAGGTAGGTTTTATTGTGTCGATTGAGGATAATGGACAGCTTGTTGAACACTCTCCAGGACAGTTAAGATGTTTACTAGGTATTCAGTGTAGCCTGATAAAACACTAAAGAAATGTATATGAGATGTTAGGTCCAGAACTTGCTAGCAAGTAGTGTTCAGTAGTTTTTTTTTAAACAGGCATCCATCCTCTTTAATCAAACGGGTATCATTTAGTTATGTGTGTGTGTATATAAAGTTGAATTGTAAACATTTTTTCTGTGTTATAAGACATGAATAGGAGATTTCATTGTGTGAATTTTGATTGTTATTTTTTTAATGGTTTAAAATTTACATATGTGTTTCACCTTTACATTTTTGCATTAGCTCTCAGATGGTGGCATCTCCTGCAGGCTACACTCCTAGTCCTTCATCTCAGATAGTTCCGTCTCCTGTCGGCAGCATGATTGGAAGGACTCCGGGAACAGTGGGAGTAGCTTCGCCAGGAAGTGCATTAAATACTCCAGGTTACAACAAAGAACATTAGATAGAAGGATCTTAATTTTTTTATGTACTTAGTGATATTAACACTGATGAGTCCAAGTTTCTGTAACAAACATTAAGGAACTAACTCTCAAAATATGCTATATTGTTAGCTTCATTGTTTGTTAATGTTTTATTTGTCTGAACTCTTCGTGTGCTGGATGTGACCCATGAGCCATCAAATGGACAAATAAGATGTGTAGAATCCCCATTATAAGATGGCATCAAGATTGTTAAAACGCATTGCTTAGTTATAAGGACAAATGAGATGTATAGAATCCCCATTATAAGATGGCATCAAGATTGTTAAAACGCATTACTTAGTTATAAGGACAAATAAGATGTATAGAATCCCCATTATAAGATGGCATCAAGATTGTTAAAACACATTACTTAGTTATAAGGACAAATAAGATGTATAGAATACCCATTATAAGATGGCATCAAGATTGTTAAAACACATTACTTAGTTATAAGGACAAATAAGATGTATAGAAT